AAGGCTCCCGAAAATTTATGATTGCCAAAGAATAACCTTGTATTTTGATGCACGTGATTTTCGTTCATTGGCAGAAAGTTGTGCAGAAAAATCGTGCAAACCGTGAAAAAACTGTACCTACTGATGCTCTTGTTTTAAAATATAACCTCGTAAAACCTTTTGTTATATAAATATATATTATAAAATATGTAAGTGGATTCATCAACCGTGATATACCGCATGGAAACCGCATTACTTAAGAGTCTGGTACATGTAAGATATAATCTAGAAGTAATTTGGTTCAATAAGAAGATGGGCAGTTAAAAGTGATGTGATCCACTTGTTTGATCCACTAAAAAAACAAAAACAAAAAATAACAACAAAAAAACTGATTCCATTGGAACCCTGGAAAGCGAAAGTGATGTAAACCACTGATAATCAATTAAGTGATTTAAATTATACAAACATTTGAGGCATGTTTGAATCCAACACAGGACAACGGATCACTTTAATTTAACTCAGCAGCCTATCACATGGATAATTCAAACATTGTCAACAGTTTGATTTACTGCATGTATGTACATGTACTATGTATTTGGAAAATTGTTTTCATGCAGAGACTGAAAGTTTGTAATGAAAGGAGCTACGGGGCAATGTTTTCCATTTTGTCAATGATAGATTTTCCAAGCTGCATTGAACACAAATTTTGTTTGTGAAACTTTACTCTGACAATATTTGTTTTTAGATGATTTATTTTGCCCAATACTTATCTATCGACTGGAGTTTTGGTGTGCATGCAAATTAAGCATTTTATGCAAACACTCCAATGTAATAAAGGTATTTTGTGATTAAGGGTTTTATTAAATAATGTGTCTTTTTTGCATTTCCGATAGATAAGGGAAAAAACTGCATGAGCTGTCTTCTATAAATAGATCAAGCGATTTTTTACGATAGACTCATTCAAATTTGCAAACTTAAGCAAAATCATTGTGAAAACCAGTTATTATCACGTTGAACGGCTTAACCCTTTCCCCCATGAGCATATTGTGAAAAATGGCCGTTTTCACTGAAAAGCCTCCTGTTACAAGTTCAAACTGCTATGAAACTATGAAAAATGCTTCAATACTAATCAAACTTGGCACAAATGTTGACTGGACCATTGCCTTTGTAACGACATGCTCAGTCTCAAATTTCCTGTTACCATGGCAACGAGGGGACATCTCAAAATTGCCAAAAATCACTATTTTGCCTCGAATTTTTCCATCAAAATTTATTTCAAAGGGCTGCAACTTCTCAAGGGATTGAGATAGAGTCAAAGGCTTTTCAGCGTTATTTAAACGTTACATTATGATCGACCTGGGGTCATTTTTAGCCTCTCACAAGTCCAAAATTTTCTTGGCGATGAGGGGGACTCCGCCCCCCTTCAAACCCCCCTAACAGAAGGGGGCACATCCCCCTTCTGGCAACCCCCTGATGTATCTTTTGGATGGGGGGAGGCGCCGAAAAAGTGCTCAATTTTTTTAGCAACATTTCTCAAACGAAAACTTATGTTTGGGGCCCAAATAGGACATTTTTTCACTGTTTGAGGCCCAAAAAAGGGGGGGGGGTCGAAAGTGCGTTGTTTCGCGTATATATGTGGTAAAGGGTTAACAAAAAATGATGAAAAACTTTGGAATCACCTAAAAACTAGTTTTTCCATGTTAACATGTGGTCTTTCACCTAATTTGGGTGAAAAATTGTTGTTTTGTAACATTTATATTTTTTTTAGTTAAAGGCACATTATGGCTCAGAAATGCAAAGTTTTCAGATTCTCATGAAATTTCACGTATGTGTTTAATAATGTTTTAATAATGGATTTAGAACACATTAAATGTCCAAACAATGCAAACAATAGCACTGAATAAGAAGTAATGTGACATAAAGGTAGGAAAATGTAATCAAATTAGTATTTTGACTTCCATACAAAATACTAATTCACTATAATTATACCAACTGCAAACAGAGCAAAAGAAAACAGATAGTTCAATTTAGTGGCAAATAAGTAAATTTTTGTAGACTGTAACAAGATACCAAAATATAAAAGTTTCTGAGAAATAAAAATGATTGCATTTCTGAGGCAAAATGTGCCTTTAACTAAACTGTTATTGATTTTTGCTCTCTTATTCCCAGTGATAAACTATTTATTTTATGCTTTTCAGTGGATTACTGATTTATCCGTGAAAATTATATTTGGTAATTTCACAGTGAAAATTATCAAAATATAATTTCACTCTTTTCAATGACGAAACTACTTTTTTAAGATTTTCCCCATGTGGTACCTCAATTTTATTTTTGCTGACAATTCTGACAATGTCAGGCTGTTTAAAGAAAAAGCAAAACTGAAATTGATAAATAACTTAAATGTCAAAAGTAATAAAAAGAAGAAAACTTACTTCTATTCATTCAAATTCATGAAATTCCAATCACCAAATTTCGTTTTTTTGTTTCATTTTGACAGTCTCAAAATACATTCCTTCCCCATGCAAAACTGCTCTTGATGACATTTGGGCATATTAAAGTATCCTACGAGCAATAACTGCCGTATGCTTTATGAAAAATTGGAAGCATTGACAGCCATAACTCGAAGAATAAGTTAAATCAACCCAGCGTTCTTGAGCAGGTTTCCAAGTTTTCCATTTTCCTAGCTCCTTTTCTGAATGTTTTCACATCTGTCAACACTTATTTTTTGTCTGTTACAATCCTCAAATAAGTTTTCTTTCTTTTAAAAATGTGTATGACTAACAAATCCAAATTATATCCCTCTGAATCTTACACAATTATTTTCCTCCCATGAAATACACAACTTTAAAAAAATGGCTGCCGCTTACAAAAGCCAGGTCTAATATAAATTCGCACTAAGTAACAGAAATATGGATGGATGGTTGGACTTTTTCTCCTACAAGAATTGTTTGTTTTTATTATCAAAACAGGCGATCATTCATATTTTTTTAATAAAAATAATAAATATCACCGTCATTTAATGTTGATTGGCGGACTTATTTTTCAGCTCAAGACTTCTTTTTTTTAATGAGAAATTCCGAATAAATGGGGCTCTCAATGGGGGAAACAGTTTTAATATTAACGTTAAAATTATGGAAATTTCGTTTTAACTCGTTTTTAAGCATAAAATAAAAAGAAAATTTGTCTGTTTGTTGTGTAAGATGTAATTTTATTTCATCTCGTGAACTTTAAAAACAGTATTCTCACTCGTGGCTTCGCCACTCGTGAGAATACTGTTTTTAAAGCCCACTCGATGAAATAAAATTTCATCTTACACACAAACAAACAAATATCCTCTATATGTCCAAACACGACAACATGATTATGTAAAATTATTTTCAATAAAAAACGTACTTTAAGGGGAAAAAATCTCTGCAAGAAACTTTCCAAGATATATTTAAAGAAATTTAGTAAAATGTATAACAAATGTGAAAGCATTTCACTTAAAGTCAAATGAAGTATCCATTCGCACTTGTTAAGGGCGTTTATACGAGTTTTCATATATACATATAGGCAAAATTAAAGAACACAGTCAATTAGTACAGTTTTAATTTTGCCTATATGTCTATATAAAAACTCCCGAAAACGTCCTTGAGGTAAATTGAAGATATGGTTATTTAGTTAAGTGCAGTTACCTCTGGTGGATTGTTTGTTTGTCTGGTTTTATTGCCGATTGTAACACAAATGAGCCGTGTCACGACAAAACCAACATAATGGGTTTGCGACCAGCATGGATCCAGACCAGCCTGCGCATCCGCGCAGTCTGATCTGTATCCATGCTGTTCGCTATCGGTTTCTCTACTTGTTATAGGGTTTGTAAGCGAACAGCATGGGTCCTGATCAGACTGCGCGGATGCGCAGGCTGGTCTGGATCCATGCTGGTCGCAAACCCATTATGTTGGTTTTGTCGTGACACGGCTCAAATATGGCCATATATTTGAGGGCCCGTCCACCTAACTAGTTTCATGGACAATTAACCGGAAGGTACCAATTTCTCCTCACGTGACCAACAACAAATCCAATATGATTTTTGAATAAGCAGTGAGAGACAATTAGCCATTAAACTCAATTACTCAAATGAATCACGGACATCACTGAGAAATTTCAATGATCGCACCAATGACCCCTACGATGCTCCCCGTATTGAGCTAACTAAAGATGGCTTCAAGCTTTTGGAAGGGGACCAAGTAAGTTCACGGCCTACATGTAGGTATTTGACTTGGGTGTCCTCTTGAAAGTAGCATATCAGACGGAGAAATATTAGAAAAACCTCGCCCGCAGAGAATACATTTTCCGAGTTTTGACGGAAAGGACCGATAAATGCGATTGACGGAGAAATACAATAGATAACCAGCCCGCATAGCACAATCGATTAGAGCGCGAGACCTGTAATCTCGACATTGTAAGTTCGATTCCCGGGCTGGCCAACTAAAATTACTAATCAGTTTTTTTCTGTTGAGACTTTAAATCGAGTTTCCGTGTATTGGTGCTTAAACACTTGGCAAGCTAAAGAACTTAGGAGAAGCTTTTGGAATTTGAGCATGTTCATGCACTATCCTCCAAAAATCTAAAATGACTAATACTTTTCTGGAGGACTTGCCCATATGGTCAACCGGTGGCGAGTATAAATAAACGCAAATACACAAAAAACAATAGATTAGACGTCTCCAGGATCTCTCAACCTTGACATTTAAACACAAATCTGTCTACGTGACTTAAACTTCAAAAACAAACCAAAAAATAAGCATACAATAACTCCTCAAGGTATCTAAAATAAAGCGTTCATTCGTTTGATATGACTATTGATTTTCTTATCTAGATATAGATCTATAAATAAAAAAATTGTTTCTAGAAAAACGTTTTTTTCATTGAGTATACATTTATTTATTGTTTTATATATTCGTTTTTTCTTGTACTAAACCAAGTCCAAAATCATGTTCAAACAAACGCATGCATTTTAAACATACGTGCATTTTGAATGTTTTTCTAAACAAACAAATTCTTCGATTAGGTAGTCTGTTTCGTTATATTGTATCTTAATATTGATATCTTGAGGATAAGGATCGGTAAGGACTTAAAAATGTCTCAAAAATGTCTGAAAAAATAAATAAATATACTTCGTGAAATATTTATTCCTATTAACTATTTACAAGTAAGATGTAATAATAATTGTAATATTTTATTATTTTTATTATTATACGTATTTCGCATCATTATTATTATTATCAATATTCATTATTATGATGATGATATTGATAATTATTATTATTCTTATCATTATTATTATTATTATTCTTTGAGGCATTAGATCTTTTGTATATTCTATTATCATTCCAGGACAGGATTTGATATGAAAACTTGTACATGTATATATATTCTTACATTTTTCGTTTCTCTGTTTGTTATAATTTGTTTTATAAGAAGTCACCGAAAGCGGTTTCCTACGGAAGCGTCCTGGTGCCAATTTAACATATTCTATGAAAAAAGATAACGCCTACGTAGGACTTTGTAACTCCTACGTAGGACTATATAACTCCTACGTAGGAGATAAAAAGCATAATTAGGAGTTTATATCTCCTACGTAGGACTTTGTAACTCCTACGTAGGAGATATAAAAACCTAATTAAGAGTTTTGAAGTCCTACGTAGGACTTACAAACTCCTACGTAGGACTTTATATCTCCTACGTAGGAGTTAAAAAAGCCTAATTAGGAGTTTATAACTCCTACGTAGGAGTTAAAAAAGCCTAATTAGGAGTTTATAACTCCTACGTAGGACTTACAAACTCCTACGTAGGACTTTTTAACTCCTACGTAGGACTTTTTAAACTTTAAAACTCCTACGTAGGGGGACACTTATAAAGTTCTACGTAGGAGTTATAAACTCCTAATTAGGCTTTTTTTATCCCCTTCGTAGGAGTTATAAAGTCCTACGTAGGAGTTACAAAGTCCTACATAGGAGTTATCTTTTTTTTATAGAATATGTTAAATTGGCACCAGGACGCTTCCGTATTAACGAAATGCTAAATGATTATTAGTAATATTTTTCATGTCACGGGAATAAATGTTTTCAAGGGTATTTACTAGCACTCATTTTTTGTCTAAAATGATTTATCTAATAAAAGTCAACGCGAATAAATTCTACACGATTGTACGGACTGGCATCACATCGTCAATGAATATAAAATCTACACGATTGTAAAGAATTTGCATCAGATTGTGTTATACAGGGATTGTTATCATATCATTAACATGATTTAAAGCCTGCTTAGACTTTGTATTTTTTTTATTATTATTTCTAATTACTAATTGAAGATAAAGAAACACAACTGAATATATTTTATTTCCAAATTCAAGAATTATTTTGTTTGCTTCTGACGTTTTCCTGTTAACTATATTGGAAGTCCACAGTGTTTGCTTGCTTATGATGTGAGAGGTCTGGGGTTGCGAATCCCAGTACAGTGAATGAACATTTTTTTCTAAAGAAATGAGTCAAGATATACAAAGGAAAAAAATGGTTGTGTTAAGTAAAGCAGAACACATATAAAAAGAAGTATATAAATGATATTACAATGAACTTTATAAATTTTAGGCAATATGAAACAAAATTCCATAGGTATAAGATTCAAACTGTTAAAGTCTTATTACATTCGTCAATACCATTCTGTAGCAAACATCAATAGTCTTCGAAGGATTGATTTGTCATATTGTAAACCAAAACATTACTGCTTCCGTTTGATATTTTGAATAAAACACGAAATCGTATACCATATAGCATAGACCAGATCTTTCAAGATATCGAAATAAAACATTGTAAAGGGTTATTTTTTAAGAAATTTTTTAATTTAAAGACACAATTTTTTATGGTTTTAAATCATAAATATGATTCTCAAATTAAGATTTGTCAATATTGTAGGTTCCAAAAAGCATTATTTAAAAAGATATTACCGAATTTAACATTTCATGTTAAATAAAGGGAGGTAATAAAATTTTATTTTCTATAAAGTTTAAGTCCAATTTTACAATAAGAAATGAATGCATATATTTTAATGATTACTTATAATATGCACAAATATTTGCAGTATATATTTTACATATTCTTCGATGTTTGACAGTAGTTTCTTTTTGCATAATTATGTACATATATAAAATTTCACTTAGTGTGGTTAACCACTTTGATCACAGCATACAGGATCTTTAAAAATATCTGGATTGCACTGTTTCAGAATCGTCTATACACGCCCCTGTCACCATGGCGAATCATGCACCTGAACAAGAGGTTAAAGATCCGTAAGTATTATAAATGAAACTTTCCTTTTATTTAATCGATTTGAAAGAAATAACTTATGAAACAAAAAAAAAAAAAAAAAATAAAAATAGAGAAAAATAAAAATCCGTACAGAAAGCCAAACACTCCAAATTGAAAGTTTTGATTGAGGCCTGTTCAAGGACGGTACTGGTAAGTGCAAACTACCGTTTACACCCATTAGCACCGGCTTAAGCAGTATTCAACATTTAACACGAACTGGTAAAATATGGGATTGTGAAACATCCGCAGATGTGTTCATATGGCTGTTATTATGGAACCTTCAATGTGACACTTTATGCCATTCCATGAAAAGCGGCATATGGTCCCCAAGTAAAAAAAATGCGTGTACCCTAAACGAGAAAACAATGAGCGGAACTAAATAAAATGGAATTTAGGGGATCAGAGGTTATGAAGCCTGCATATCACAGATATGACGTCAAAAAATAAATTAAATAAGCAGGTCACATTTCCAAAGGCTGATTCAACAATACCCAAGTCAGGAATACTGGAACCACCCAGCAAGAAAAAAGCCGGACATCTCAACTGTCGCCCAAAATGGCAAAATTGAAAATGTTTCAGACTCCGCTTGAGGACCACTGAAACCGGTGTAAGGGAGCTTGTGAGACGTTTCTCTTTTACATTATTTCTTGTGAGCAAATCCAATCAAACCGAGTCTGCAATTTTCATATAATATTGCTGTTTTCATATTTCTTTCGAGGGGTCACTAATTTTCATAATTTTGATACAGCCAATGACTTAACCCTTTACCGCATGAGCATATTGTGAAAAATGGCCGTTTTCATTAAAAAAAGTCTATTACAAAATCAAACTGCTATGAAACTATGAAAAATGCTTCAGTACTGATGAAACTTTGCACAAATGTTGACAGGACCATGGCCTCTGTAACAACATGCTTAATCTTTCATTTCCTGTTACCATGGCAACGGGGGACGTCTCAAAATATCCAAAAATTACTATATTCCGTTGTTTTTTTCCATCAAAACTGATTTCAAAGTGTTGCAACTTCTCAATGGATTCAGATAGAGTAAAAAGCGTTAGTTACACTTTACCGTACGATCGACCTGAGGCCAAGTTTAGCCTGTCACATGTCCAAAATTTTCTTGACGATGGGGGGGGGGGGGCTGCCGCCCCTTCAAAGCCCCGAAACAGAAGGGGACACATCTTCCTTCTGGCAACCCCCTAATGTACCTTTTTGATGGAGGACGGCGCCGAAAAAGTGATCACTTTTTTATCCACATCTCTCAAACGAAAACATGTGTTTGGGGCCCAAACAGGACATTTTTTCACTAGTTGAGGCCTAAAAAGGGGGAGGGTCGAAAGTGCGTTGTTTCGCGTATATATGAGGTAAAGGGTTAAAACAAGCTGCCTTCATCACCTTACAGCAGAAGTCAACATTGAGTTATTTAAGACAATTTTAATGTCCATGAATACATCACGAATTAGATTATTTTTAGAGAGAACGAACATGAAAAATAAGTAGACATAGAAATATTAAGATTATGAAAGAAAGCCAAACAAAATATCTTTAATTGAAAACAAATAAGAATTGGATGTGTTAAGATAAAAAATTTAATGACAAAATGAAAATACCATATTTTCCCGCTTATGATTCAGTGCTTGTGATCCAAACAACCCGATCTCAGTCTCTTTCGAGAAGGTTCTACAAGCAAGGGAGGCAATCAAAGATGCGATTGAAGTTACGCCATGTCGAGTAAGTTATGCTGATCTTTTAAGAGTTTTATTTTTACAATCTTAAAATACCGGCGACATTCTGATAGTTTGCATCATATTATAGTATTTATCTATTAATCATTGTCCTTCAAACATTTTATATAGATTGTTTTCACAGAGTTAACAAAGATCTAATAAGTCCGATCATGTTTTTTTCTTATGTTTGTCCCTTTTTACTTTGTTTTTCTTCTTCTTCTCCTTATTAGCGTTCCCAGATGTCTGACCTGTTCAACATGGAACTTTATTTCAAGAAAGAATACACTCAGTACACCGGAAGGTAATGCAACAAACATAAAGAAGATTGTGTCTTTTAATATATTAATGACATTCAAACAAAATTAATTTTGACATATATAATTTATCTTAGCTAAGTTGTAAAAATTCAACCAGTACTAATAATGTTTGAGAAACAATAATCATGCCCCCAAATAGGCCTGGAATTCAAAACTCCCTTTTCGAGAGTCACGTTCCTCTACCACAAAATTGCAACCCCTAACAACCACATTTGTATTTTACCTATTGTCATTTGTACTACATGTATTTCAATCTGCAAATATTCGTAAATTAAAAAATATAATATCAAAAAACATATCAAAACTATAAAAACTATGATATGATTTATACGCAAGATGTTGCTGGTTTAGAGAACATGGATGCTTATATTGATAACGAAAAGGACGAAGAAGACGGTGATAATTTTGATTGTAATGATGATGATAAGGTCAATAATAATGTACATCACGACGACGAATATGAACTTGTTGATTATAATAATGATGATGATGATTATTATTATTATATCATTATTATTATTAATATTATGAAAATCATAATGACAACAACGTTAACGACACTACCAATGACGACGGCATTAATGGCACTGGATGATGCGACGGTGGTGTTGATGATGTGATGATGAAGAAGATGATGATTATGATGAGATAATATCATTTAAAACATATAACATTTTATTAAATAATCTTTGTTTTGTTTACAGTTTCAAAGAAAGAGGAGCACGGTTTTGCCTACAGAACCTGCCGTCGGTAAATAAACACATCACAAACTTGAAATTGATATTTATTTTTCAAGTTGTATTTTCAATAAATTTGTTATTTTCATTTTTGATTAAATTGGATACTAGTATATACTACATATTGGTGATAAAATAAGTTATTATAATAAGTTCAATGTTGGAGCCTTGGTTTAATTATCATTAGCTCGTACATATTTCTTAAAACCAGTTTCTGTATTACTTGATTTAAAATTGTCCCTAACAATTCGCTTTGATTTGTTTATAATTTGTAATATGTATGTATATGGCGACTTTCCTACTTTTCTGTCGGCGAACGACCTCAGATGCCCCCCGATTGAGCAGGCAGCTTAGTTTAATCAACAACCGCCTTCACCTTACTTGAGTTAGCAGGATAGCTTTTTCACAAGGGATCATCCTTATACAAGATGCTTCTTTTCACCAAAAGAAACTGCCTTTCCTCTTAATATTTCTTTTTTTTCTTTCATGAACAGTTGCTTTTCTCCTATGCAGATAGTTCCCTTTTCCGTTTTATATGAAACATTTCTTTATGAAACAGTCGGTTTTCTTTGTTATATTTATAGTTATGTAACAGAACATTTCATTTAAAACGGCTGCCGTATTTAATTGATATAGGAATCAATAGACTTTCTTGTGTGATACAGTTGGCCTTCTTTCACATATGGATTGGTTTCCCTTTCAACTTCTTGCCTGCAAGTCCTTTCATTTTCATTCTTTTATACATTTAGAATAGATTTGTTTTATTTTTCCATTTTTACAATAATTGCGCTCTTTTAATTTTATAAACATGATGCCATCCTTGCTTTTATCCATTACGAAACGGTTGATAGGAACAGAAAAAGAAAGGAGTAATAGCAGCAAGTGCCGGGAACCATGCTTTGGCATTATCTTATCATGGTAAACTTCTTGGAATACCAGTGAACGTTGTCATGCCAACGATAGCCCCGCTGATGAAAATCACGGCGTGTAAGAAATATGGGGCGACAATAACAATAGAAGGGCACGACGTTGTCGAGGTATACAAATACAGTTTTTCTAGTTTAATCTGGTTGATTTATTTGCAAGGGACGGATTTTATGTCACGATGTGGTTATTTTAGGCATGTACGTGTGATGACTATGACAGGGCGGATAAGTTTTTTTTATTACGGAATATTTTACAAAGTTTGTGAATTTTCCTTTTCATGATAGTTTCTCGATGCTCCATTCATAGAAAAATGTATTGGCTTTCGTTAGCACCATCTTCCAAACTGAATGTCAACAAATGACGAGCTATGCAACTCTTATCTTTTTAGTAGGGATAAACATGATAAATGTTTGATGGGATGGGGAAACTAGACTTTTTCACAGACACTTGGGATGTTGAGCTTAAAACGCCTTTAAAATCCAAATAAAATGTATATTTGTCAATCCCAGCACATGTACTGATCATATATATCAAAAAACTTAATATAAGCCGTTTTGAAAAAAAAAATCATATTTCAACGTCTATAATAATACACAAGATAAAAATGTTCGCCGGAAAAATCCGCACACCTACCGTCAACATCACCATGTATTTTATTCCATTTCCAATATTTTCACATAATCCTTTGGTCCATCGACACAGAAGATATAATTCTTCACGATGATGGTCAATTTTAAACTTTAACGGTAATATAATATGCTCCACACCCCAAGTGTCTGTGGACGTTTTCCTTTATTCTTGCAAATCTACAATTTACCCAGACATTTGAATGTAAGCTATATAACAATTGCCCTAAATATTTTCTTTTCACTTTTCAAACTCATTGAGTGCTATTCTTTTAAACTTTAAGACAATTTGCTTGATACGGTTTACTTTTCATGGCGTTGCTATATTTTACCGACCCCTACAGTGGCTAACATATACATGAAGTTAAAAACATGACTGCTGTTAGATGAGATAAAGATAATAATATCATTACATCATTTTAACGTTTACATTCCAGTCAAAAGCTGTTGCTCTTAGAATGTCTAAAGAAATGGGATTAGCGTATATAAATGGGTAAGTATGTCTTTTTATTTCAGCACATTCATTGAGAATTTGTGTTAAGGATGGCTGCGGGTTTTAAATCACACAATTCCTGCTAAAGGAGATACACTAAGGGCAACAAGCCTTAAACTAAAAACATAAACTCAAAGTTTCACTTAGATTAAATGAAACACTGGTAGAAAAATCTGCAAAAGATAAAACGCAAAGATAAAGATAGGAACTCAGAATTAAATTGAAAACCAATTTTTTGTGTGTGATTCTAAGCAAAATTTGTATGAAAAGCGTCGCAATGCTTTGCATTTTTTGACCATTTTGGTCAACAATAATCCATATACTGGGAAAATGGTGTTAGGATATAAGCTACAATTTGCGCACAAGTTATTGGTGTCCAGCCCTCTTTTCTAGAAAATATTTATGTAAACATTTTGTATGTATTGCTAGATATGATCATGAAGATATAATAGCTGGACAAGGCACTATTGGACTTGAAATATTAGACCAGGTACCAGACCTGGACGTTTGTATTATACCAATAGGCGGGGGAGGCATGGTAGCTGGCACCGCTTTGGCTATCAAATCAAAGCGTCCAGACGTCAGAATCATTGTAAGTTTACTTTTGATTGCCCGTTGCAGTACTAAGCTCTCGTTCAAAAGCGTTGAATTATCAAGATTTATATGTCTTTTAGAGGACTTCCAATTATCAATACATATATTTTCTTAAAATGCACCCAATTATCAAGACCTGTATGCTTTTTAAAAAGCTCTTTTTAGAACGTCAAATTTAGACAGAATTGGTAGCAATCATCAAAATTGTTTAATGTATGATAATTATTTTATTTTTTGTGTTAATGTAAGTTCATGTATGCCCCGTATCTGTACATAGAAGTTTCTTGACATTATTTTACTAATGAAGAAAAACTGGTATTTTAGGGTGTTGAACCGGAACACTCTCCAAGTTTTCAGGCTTCCATGAAAGCTGGTCGACCCGTTTATACAGAGACTACGTCCACGCTTGCAGATGGTTAATTTTTATTTCTTATTTTGATAATATTTGTATCATGTTTATTGTTTGATATCCAAGTAATGCGACATTCACTACGACTTTGAATTTATTTTTACATATAAGGCATATGAAAGGAAAACATATCTTTTTAATGAATGTTCTTTTTAAGTAAAGAGATGATTACAATATCGTTGTAATTTTAACTATCATGATTCCAATAACACGTCTGTATGACTTTTCAGGGCTTGCTGTTCCGTTTGTTGGAGTGAACGCCTTTGAAACAGTCTTTGCAAATAAACTTATTGACATCAATGACATGGTCCTAGTAAAGTATGTACATATTTTTAATGTTGTCTTTGTTTTGTTTTTGTTCTTATTTCAATGAGGTTATGTAAAGAAATAAGATAACAACAGTACTAAGAGCTTTATAAATTAGGAAATTTCGTTTTGTATTGCATGTTAAAGTTTTGATCGTTTAATGTAAGAACATATGTGTATAGATGATGCCTTGCACAATATCAATTTGCTTAGCATCTACGTATTACAAGACTACCACAGCTTTTCTTTGAAGATGGGCATTATTTATATTCCGCTAAGTGAAGACTTTTGTTGCCTGGACCATGGACAAACTTACTTAATGATATTGATCTTTTCCTAAGTGTAAATTGGCGGTGGTTCAGGCGGAGTAGCATTGCCGATATAAACCTGTTCCTGAGTAGCAATACCTGCAAATTTGCTTGAGCTGATATCAAATACGATGTAATTGTTTTCATTGAGTATCGATGGTTAGCACATCACATTTGTTTTAGCAAAGTTTTATTGTTTCTGAATAGCTTTCAAATTGTAGGGTTAACAAGAATGGGAAGAAAAAAATATCGGTCATAATTACATTTATCGTGAAAAGTATCGGAGGTTCCGTGAAGAAGAGCTTGATTTATTAGAGGAAGAGAAATATGAATTAAAAACTTATGTCTGAGTAAAATTCATGCATGTTTTTTCATGCTATAAATACCAGTTTATCGATTTCTTTTCTTGTTTGGACATAACCATGACTTAGGGCTTTATACGATATCTTTATTGCAGGGAAGAATTTATTGAGCGGGCTATCTTGAGATGTATCGAGCTAGAAAAAGCGGTAGTGGAGGGTGCAGGGGGAACAGGATTGGCAGCAATACTACAAGGGATTGTTCCAGGGCTTGAGGGCAAGAAGTAATTAAATATCTTATTTCTTGAATGACAATGTAATGGAGTTAGGTCAAGGTGTTTGTCCCTCAATCCAATGATCACGGGTCACATCCCTACTCGGACTCGATAATATTTTCTCAAATGACAACAAGGCTGGTTAGCTTTAGGAAGTGGATTCGTAAGTGGTACAAATAAAACGTAAAACTTTCATTACAATTGAGCTGAAATAATAACAATGTCTAAATTTAAATTCAATGCAAACTTAGACAATATAAATCTTACTGATAGTACCTTGCATTAATCTATGGTGACTGATTTGTGCCATTCGTGTTTTCGTCCCGCGACCCCACCAAGCGAAAAGTCGAGAATTAACAAGTTAAAATGGCGGGGTCGCGGAGCGAAAACACGCTTATAAGCGGGGCCGCGCGGCGAAGTTTAACAAATAGAACTTCGCCCCGCGAGGTCGCGGAACGAGAATTAAGACATAAAACGGCGGGGGCGCGAGGCGAAGTTTAATGAAATAAAACTTCGCCCGCGCTTCCGCTAATTAGCGTGTTTTCGTCCCGCGACCCCGCCAAGCGAAAAGTCGAGAATTATCAAGTTTAAATGGCGGGGTCGCGGAGCGAAAACACGCTAATAAGCGGGGCGCGCGGCGAAGTTTAACAAAAAAAAACTTCGCCCCGCGAGGGCGCGGAGCGAGAACTAATAAATAAAACGGCGGGGGCGAAGTTAAATAAAATAAAACTTCGCCCCGCGCCCCCGCTAATAAGCGTGTTTCCGCACGCGACCCCGCCAAGCGAAAATTCGAGAATTAACAAGTTAAAATGGCGGGGGCGCGGGGCGAAAACGCAAATGGCACAAATCAGCCACCATATTAATCTGATATGTTTACACACACTTTCTTGTATTTATATATTATTAAAACACTTTCCTACAATATTTTTATATTTGAGTTAACGTGTATAATACGCATATACTTTAACATTGTTACTTATTAGTAAATAATGGCCGTTTCAGAGTACCAAAGAATTAAGTTTGAAAATTTGAGACAAAGGACATTTTGGAAGGCAATTTAATCGCCTTTTTGTATATTAGCTTCTATTTGCATTTGCCATAGTCAGTGGAGCAATATGTATGTCTAGACGTATTGTATAGAGTAGCTTTACATGACTTCAAGTGGACATGATTTTCTCATAAGGGAATGGTTCTTCTAGTGAAAACTAAAATAAAAGTGTAGAAAATAAAAGATAGTGAGAAAAGTGTAGTGACAAACGTGATAAAATAAATAATGTTTAAAAAATGCAAAAAATACCTCATATGAACGAAGAGACAGACGGGTGTAAGTACCCCAATTTTTGTTTTATGGGGTTTTCTTATCTTTATGTGACATTTTCTGTGTGACATTTTCCCAGAAAATGTCTACTTAAATCGACTGTATTTGTGAGTTCCTACTTTACGACAAAAGGAAAATCATTTATAAATAATTTGATGTTGGCCCAGACCGACGGTTCAATTACTTTATGACCATGCGCATAAAATCTTTTATTGTTCTTTGAATAATGTTGATATTGTATTTAAGGGTTGTGGTGATTCTGAGTGGCGGGAATATCGACACCACGGTCCTCGATCGAGTGATTGAGAGAGCACTAGCTGAAGATAACAGATTGGTCAAATTTCAAGTGTCTGTCAGTGACAGACCTGGCGGGATAGGAGAGTTGACAAAACTTGTTGGAGATCTTGGTGTCAGGTCATTATTCAATACATAGAGGATATTTAAGTTTTTTCTATAAATACATGATTTATTTTCATCGAGTGGTATGAAAATAAATATTTCATGAGTGGCGGTAGCCACGAGTGAAATATGGTAATTTTCATGCCACAAGATGAAAATAAATCATGTATTTATAGAAAAAACTTGAATTTTCTGTTTATTATATACATTTTTCTTTTTTTGACATTAAAATTTGAAAGACTTTTCCTTAAATTTTGTGTACTGGCAGAATTTAAAAGAAAGTAGTCCGGCAAGACACCAATGAAAATACGGAAAATATGTTTCACTGCAGTGAAAAATAAATTTTTACAGTGAAAATACGGAAAATGAAAATACGCATTTTATTTTATCAATATTTCTCAATATTTCATATATAAGTATATAATAAATACTAGTATCTGCGCAATCTCGAAAACCAATCAAGCAGCTTATTTATTTTATAGATTTCATGTATTTGTAATTTGTTGTATACAATTGGTCTGAAATAATTGTATAAGCACTTAGTGGGGACGTTTCTGAAATAAGTTGAAATATCAAAATCAAATATCAAAATCCAAAACATTCCAATGTTAGTATGAACTGCTTCCATTTAGTAATAGAGATTGATCGGTAAAATGATCAAATTTAAAACAGCCCCTTCAGAAACGTGGATTAAATGTTACCAGACATTGATAATTCTATTTGTCACAGAGTGTATGTATAGTAGGGAAGTTATTTTGCATGTACGTGTATTTATATAGAAATTATAGAAATACAGTTTTATTCCTTCAGCTGTGTATGAGTAACGTTGTTAATCTTAGTACTCTTTTCAGCATCAAGGACATTTTCCAAGAAAGACCTTGGGAGAAACATGACGTGTTTTCTGTGATGGTGAGATATTTTTTTGTCATGTTACAGATATCTGGCTATTCCTGTTGTTTAAAATCTGTATCTTATTAACTCTAGCCATATCGACTTACTTTTCAAATGACGACCTTTTAAAGAGTACAATCATGATAACAATGAAAACCATGACAAGAAGTCAATGTGTTATTTAAACAAACTTGTATAAAATTTATAAAAAATTTATAACTTAATCATTGAGTTGATAAATTCACCAAGACACAAGGGTAGTATTGATTTACTCGAGGAATTGGATTTTTAACGAGTATTCTTTTCCATCCATAATCAGTGCCTGTAACTTTCTTCGTAATGATATGTCGGGCGACTTTAAGTCATCCACTTTGACGGTGTGTATGTTTGTGCTAACGTTTGTTCTTTCAAAATCATAACATTCATCAAGGTTTCGTTGCAGGTAAAAGTGGTGTGTGAAACGCGTGATGCTGATCACAGCAAAGAATTGCACGATGCCATCAAGAAAAAATACCCGAATAACCATCTGATTTGGGGTCAACTATATGATGATTAACTTCTGTTTATTTCTGATGAATCACTTTTTTTGGATAAATGAGAAGGATACTACTTACATTCTAACTAATTAGTTTAGTTTAGTAATTTGACACAACCATGTTGTATGCAATATTAGTTTCTAATATCCTTTTTGCTTGTTTTGTAACCAGATTTTGATAATAAACATTAACACAATACATGTCATAAAATACCACTTAAAAAGGTGATGTGGTTTGATAAGAAAGAGAGAAATAAAGAATCCCCTAAAGAATGCACACAACCACAAAATTGAAGATGTTGCATGCTCGATTTGTTTGAGTCTGTTCATGAACGGTAATTTTAAGTGCAAGTTACATTAAGTTATAAAATGTTTATTTTATGATTTTATGATTTATAGATCTGCTCAGCTGAAAAGTATTAGAACAATGTCATTCATACTTTGTCAAGGTTATTCATTATTGGATATAGTCTACATTGTTCTCATTTTATGGAAGATATAGTCAACTGTTAAAGGTCCGTCTGATGAAGTGAAAATACTGCTTTGTTACACGTACTTCACAACCATACACTATAAAAATGGAATTGATATTAACATAAGTTAATAAAAACAGTTTTAAAAAAAGTTTTACAAAAACAAAATCATTAAACTTTACTTTTAATAATTCCCAACAAAACTGTCAATTATTGTGTTTGTATATTATGCGATAAAGTCTCTGTACCGCAAACGTTATATGGTCTTATATGAAAAACCTGAGTCTCAAATGAAGAATAATCAATTTCATTAGGCAAAATCATGTCTTACTAAGATGAAACAGAATTTAACAATTAATTTATAAACAAAGGGAGGCAATTAGAAATATATTTTTGATAAAATCATGGCCAAATTTTTAATACCGAACATAGATAAATTATTTATTTATTATTTGTTATAATTTTAATGCATATAGAATTATTGTGTAAATGAAACAAATTATTGGATGTTTTAAAAATGTGTTAGAAAAAAACGTGTATATAATCTCAGTTAACTGTATGTTACGTCCTTAATTTCAACATACAGGATATTAAAAGATACATGTATTCTGATTTAATTTGGAATAATTTGTTTGCTAGTCTGAGAAATAAAACTGAATATCTTATATGAGTCTTGTGTATGTTTTATGTATTGATAAGAGGAAACATTTCAAAATTTACAGGTAGTCAGAAAAATTGTGTTGCAATAAAATAGTATCAATACTTTGGTATATAGCAGTTACGTTTACGCTTCTATAGTTCCATGTGAAGACTTTTATCAGCTTATGAATATCTAAGATTTTCACCGTTATTCATACACCGTTAAAATGTTACAATTTAGTTTTACTATTGAGAGACATATATCTGAAGCATTGTACAATTAAAGAGTCTAACATATGTTAGTTATTGAGATAACTATGCTTATGCCAAAAAACTGTATATTTTATATGCATTATCCATACAAGTATTAATGTTCGGAAAGTGACCAATCTTTGCCACCAGAAAAGAATCAGACCAGAATCAGACCAGTCTGTAAATTGCAGTCTTTAATCTGTTGACTGATCGACCAAAATGTTTCATTTTGATGTTCCAAAATTGATAATTGACGATTTCAAAATGTTCATTTAAGCACATCAGACGGTAAATCGTAGCGTCGGTCACTACACAGATTTGTTATGAATGAGATAGTTTTGTTTAAAGGCAGTGCAAGTGCAAAAACTTTGTCAAGATGTTATCTTCTACCGTTTTATTATCAATCAGGCGTTTTTATTGACTTGGGAGATCAGTGCGAGTGCATTTACAGAGGCTTTGACTGCACTGTCAATGCAGAATGTGGCCTTTTACTCAGGATATGATTATCCAAACTTAACAGTCCGATACTTTCTCTGGGATGAGAGTAACGGCTGTAAGTTGACTGGTTCCAAAGGCAAAACTTAAATCCTCCAATCTATCCAAACATTCATGTATAGATGTTTTAGGTTACCTACAAAGAATATAACGAATAACAGTCTTGACACACATTTCTACCAGTTCATTACAATTAACATTGCATTGTTAAGATTGAGAAGGAATCTTTTGTATAAATTGGAGGAAAAACAGGAAAATATATCCTGAATATAAAATATTCAATAATAATGATTTTTTTTACATTATATAATGGTGTAAACATTAGAGTATGATCAATTGAAGACAAAACGTTAAAACTGCTAGTACAAGTGTAGTTTTAATTTGCTTTAACACTTTCTATTAAATGTAAAAGGGAGAGTATTCGATAAATTATAAAGTTTGGCTACAAAACGTTAGTTCCCTTCACATTAAAGAACTAAGGATAAAATTGTTCCAATTTATGTGAATTTGTTACTCTTGTGGCTAAGAGGTCGGCTCTAAGGGTTGATACATCGAATCAGAATTGCCGCAATCGTTTGTCCCTTCTTGATCGTAAGAGGCAACTAAATGGTTTTGAATTACTGGAGTCAATCTAGCAGATGAAGTGGAATTGACCCCTAGTGTTGCTTCAAGTTTGCAACATGTGAGGTTGGCCAAAATCAATTTTTTTTCTTTTCGGCGTATTATGAGCTAAACTGTGCGTGCACGCCGTAAAACAAAACAAAATCAAAATAAATTCCTCAACCAAAAAAGGTCAGACATTGAAAAAGCACTCTAGATTACAAAGAACTAAATACCCTGGTGCTTAAGGCCACTTTTTAAACAGCAATACGTAGTGTACTCCGGATATTTCGAGTTTGAATTGAGAATACAATGTTCGGTCTTACAAACTTAAAGAATTACAAGGGGTCATTTGGTGGAACTAAGCTTAAAGATGCATTGACTTCAATTATTCGAATCCATTTAGTTGCCTCTATCGATCACGTACTGATAAATAATGGCTGCAATTCTAATGCACCAACCCTTAAAAGTCATATTTCGGCCACAAGGGAAAATTAAGGCAACGTAACATTGGAGCAATCATATAATATTTGCATACGAGTATTGCAATCACTCATGCTTTAAGTACTGAAAGAAGGCGATTATATATTTTTTCAAGATATGAATTAATTAGATTTTAGTTCTAACTCGAAAAAGAAAAATTCTTCAGGTCTGCTTGAATCCATAAATATCTACTCTTATTTTCATTCTTATCGAACTATTCCAGAAACTATGTAACGCTTTCGCTGATGTACCTATGTACCTTAAATGGCCTATCAGTGGGAGATAAGTTATTTCTTGCCAAACGAAATGATTTGTGCTAGTTTGAAGCAAATGTTAGTACTTTGTAAATATTTTTGCTATACAAATTTTAAAAATTAACGACGATTTAAGTTGTACGCAGACCAAGTGTACTGTTCTGTAAGTGTACTGTTCTAGGGCCTATTGTGGAAACACTGGCATAAGAAGACGATTGATCCCAAGGTTGGTCTTCCAATTAGGTGTAATTTAGCGGACAAATATAACCGTAAACTAAAAAATTGGTCGTGATAAACGATCTGCAAAGATTTGTGATTGATTTCAAGTTTTATTTATGCGATTCACCAACGTATTTCAAGTAGAAATTGGGATTCTTAAAAACTTAAGAAAGTATCTTTAAACGTTAAAAGCATCTAAAAACGTTAAAATAGCTAGTCCTTATAATGACCGAAACCACATGTGCACAGCCATGTAACAAAATTATAACCTATGTTTCAATAACCAATCCTCCATAAAGTTTGCTATCTTTTCTAATTTAAAGCGGGTAAGGATTATTTATTTAAATGTATATCTTTAAATTTAAACTGTATTGGTATATCTATAAAGCACTTTTAAATGAGCATATCATTGGTTTCTGTGAAATCACTTAATTTCCTGGACGTGAACTGTCGTGGTTTTGTCATAAAGAAAATATTTCTTGAGTGCTTTAATTCGTGGAATGCTTATTATTCCTAAAAAGTTAAATGTGAAAAGTGTGATGCAAATTAATCTTACAGCAAACGAAGCGAAATTTCGTTGGATCTGAAATGTGTAGATTGTCAATGAAAACCACGAAAATATGTTTCTAATGATTAATGATGAATTAGCAGTACTTTGTAGGAATTTCATGTCATTTAAAACAAAAACACAAATAATAGTACTTTAGTAAAGTAATGTGGTCGGTATCAGCATGACCGTTCTCAAATAAATCTTATTTAGAATTAAGTTGTAATGTTAAACGATGAAATAAAGATAGAATAATAAGTTAGGTTCTGAATTTATTTTAAAGCAAAAACAAACACACGACTTAAAATACATAAGACATTTATACGACACGTCTGATTTGATTTCAAATTACAGCCAATGTTCGATATAAAACTTAATATTAAATTTTTAATTGAAAACCGGTTTGTTAAATTTTAAGAAACTATCTTTTTAAATCTGCTAAACAGTTTGGAAGATCATATGACATTAGCAAGATTTTTTGCTAATTCATGTTATTTTACCTGAAGGTATAAAGGTGTTATCTATTGCAGTGCATTTGATAAAATCAATCTTAATAATAAATCCTTATCCGGAGGACTTAAAAGTGAAATAAAACCAAAAAAAAAAGGGACTAATTGTTTAAACACATAAACAATTCAAATGAATACAATTGTACAGAGCGGGGTTTACCCAATTGTTATTTTTGTTTGTCAATTATTTGTGTTTAATGCACGTACAAGATTACGAACATGGCCTTGGCTTAACATGTAACAATTGATACCCACTACCACAGATATTTTATAAATGAATAAGCAGTTTGTGCAATATTGCGAAATTGATATGGTGCATAAGACAAGAACCCTGTTGGGCTTGTGAAGCACATAAATATTGTAAATGATACATGCCAAAATGAATGAGATTTCTTAATGATTCTTAGTGATTCTACTTTCAAGCTTCCTTGCAGCATCCGACCAAAGCAGACGAAGATCAGCCGGCACTTCTGATTTAAACTGAATAAGGTCTGTAATGTTCGCTATTCTGATGGTATATATTTTGAAATTTTCCCTGAAATGAGGATTGCTTTGTCTAGATTGAAAAGATTGGCAAGACATGTTAAACATTTGCATTGGCGTGGTAACATTGTTCGAGATGTTTAGACGTATTTGGTCAGTGAAAACATTTACTGCAAAAATAACTTGATGCAGTCTGGCACAGGTCAACATAATTAATCAGCTTGTGTTATTGAATGATCGATCTGTTACATGTATCTATATGTTTTATGTATTGTGCAAGTGTTTTTATGCATTAAGAGAGAAAATTAAAGATACAAAAAACATCACATATCAGAACATATATGTATATACATATAAATTTAACCAATAATGATGAAAATATCAAAGGAAATACGGAACAACCTATTATTTGTTTGTTAAGAACAAATATTGATTGTTAAAATAGTTGCATGAAATACTTTTCTGACTATTTTACTTTTTAGGTGAATTATGTGCTTAAGAGTAGTCAGATATGAAAAAAACTCATGGGTAAGCAAAGTTATTGTTATACAGGTATTTTTTGTTTCGCATTTATGTTTTTTTTTCATTTATTTAACAAGGAAGGAATATCAGATATATGTCAATTTCAAAACTTTAGTTGTAATTTAAAAATAGATCAATCAGTTTCGGTGCACAGTCTTATTTACGAATAAACTGCACGTCGTTTATAATTGCATGCATTATGGTAGTATAACATATCTACCTGTTGACATTAGATCGGATATGTTTATAACTGTATATCAATGGTCATTTTTAAAAAGATATAATTTCATTCATAATTTTACCGAAATTCATGTTATTTTTCTTTGGATGTAAAATATCGTCACCTTTGTGTTGTGACCGGCAAACTCCTATTTAATTTAAATAGGATATTTAAAAGACTTTACTGCACTAAGGTGAAGACACAAACGTTTGTCATACATGATCAAATATTACACTCTCTGTTTTTGTTTACACCTAAAATCATGTGGTAAAACTACTTATCATCCGAGGTTATCGTGAATAATAGCCGAGATGCTCCAATTATTCCAGTCAAACTCAATCAAATAAATTGTCACGTTGAACAGCATAAGTGGAATTCATTTTCTATTCTCTTATTTCAATTAAAAAATATGAAAAAAAAAACAAGTTAGTGCAGTTATACAGACATATTTACAGTTATTGTAAAAAAAAATATTTGCTTTGCTAAGAAAACCTTCCTAAATATTTGTTTTAAAATTGCAATCGACGGTATGTGTTACAATTTATGTCAAATGGTTTCCATCCAAATTTGCTTAGGTATATGAAACAACTAAAGTGGAGGTAGTGGTCAAGTACTCGAGATGTAAGCCATTTTGTTTTATATGATAATGATTTTGCTCGAGAATAAATAGAAACATGTAGATTACTCAAAATAATGGCCTCGCGAAATTATCTGATTATACAGAATAGAACGCTTTACACTTTTCGGAAACCCATTTGCTGCTAAAAGCTAATCAATAGCTTTAAGGTCGATATGAACTATAAGACTTAATATTCGTGTTTTTGTATAATTTTCGGACATAACTGAAAATCATAATTGAATCGAAGCGTGTATTCCATTTTTCGTTTTTGATCTTTCTTTTATTTCTTTCGTTCAGTTTGTTTTAGTTTTCAAACATACTTGACCAGACTAGTTGGATCTAAAAAAATACGCTGCATTTCATTTGAATCACCAATTTGTAAGTGTTTCCCCTGCTTGAACAGAAAGTGACCAGTCTACAAGTCTATTGCACCAGTATAATGTCAGGCCAGCCTGCATATTAGCAATTTCTAATCTCAATATTAAGACTGAGAAAAGCCAAATTATATCCTTTACAGCTGTTACAGATAATGAAACAGTTCACAAAAGAAAAAAAACCCCAACATTTATAAGGATCGTTTTTTTCTGATTTATCAATGATTCTATGTATGCGTCATTCGTTTTCTATGAAAAAAGAAAAAGAACAACACCCCCCCCCAAAAAAAAAAAAAAAAAAAAAAAAAACACCAAAAAAAAAAACACCAAAACAAACAAAAAACAAAAAAAACAACAAACAAAACAAAACAAAAAAAATACGACAAAAAAGACCAAAAAAAAAACAAAAAAACAACAAAAAAAAAAAAAAACAAACAAAACAAAAACAAAAAAAAAAACAACAAAAAACAACAACAAAAAACGAGCATATATCTTTCAAACAGGATTTAAGTATTCATTTCAAAACCATGACATTTGTTTTATATATGGCTTTTTATACTTTAAAAGAAGTGCAGTTACGCTATAATGATTAACAAAATATTGATGATTACGGTAGTAAATATAAAAAAAACAGTGTACAAGAACATATATGTATATTGTTCAACGTTGTTTAGGTCTTTAATCAATAAACATTTTGTCATTGTCATTATAGTTGTTAACAAAAAGAACACAAATGAATGCTTGCAGCTAAATCAATCGTTATATACAAAATCGAAGTCGCGTAAGGAACATTCTATTTTGTTCTGTTCAATAAATTTCATCAGACAAATATTAACGCTTCATAAATGCATCAGTCTTTTCACATCACATTTCTAATGATATTATGATGCAAATATTGCTGGGCAATCAAATAATAATGTAGTGTATTCCTAGGGAGAGTATTCCAATATATACTCGTACAACATAATTGACCTACTTCACGATAAATCCCAATACCATTAAAACTATCTGAACTGCTACATCGGTAAAACCGATCCCGGCACACATTTGCCGAGTTTTGGAGTATTTCTGTTTGAGACCCCTCGCCGATTATTCACCATCATCTCGGATTCAACATAGTTATATCACGTGACTTCAGATGCAAACAAAAAAGTGGGCGTTTTCATATAAAAGGTCGAATATTTTTTTTGGCATTTCACGGAAAGTCATTTTCTGTAAAATTATGATTATTAAAAAAATATGTCTGACAATCGAAAAAAATTCACAAATGCCCTCTGACGTACAATTGTCACCAAATCTTGAACGTAAGGTTTCCACAGGCATAATAATAAACATAATTATAGATAATATACTGTTTACTATTTATATCTATACATTTGCTGTATTTAACCGGACTTGTACATTTTATAATGAAATAGACTAACCGACAACCCCAGCATTTACTTACTATCTTACTTTTTCTTTTTATATTTTAAAGTTTTGTAGCGTAGGGTAGACCGAAATACCGTATCAGTTCTATGTAATCAAGTATTCATACTATTGTTTCGGGCCTTTATCCGCAGATTGGCGGAAAGGGCCAAAAAGTGTAATTGAAAACTATCATGTAGAAATTGGGATTCTTTACTAATATTTTTCATCACCTTTTGTTCAGACAACTGAAACTGAAACTAATAACAGCTGTGCGTAATAATGCCTCAAATCATATGTAACAAGTCTAGTAACAATTTATTACAAGTTATTATCAATGTTTTAATAGTAAATTCCCCCCCCCCCCCCAAAAAAAAAAAATAAATAAATATTTTCTAACTATTTAATTATAAATATTTGTTTAAGTCTACTAAACACCTTTGAATAAGCATATGACATTGGTTACTTTTTCGTATTTTATTGAATACTTGAGTCGTCTTTTGCATGAACTTGCTTAAACCAAGTTTAATGATAAATCTATAAAATAATGCTGACACTTCTTCATGCAAGATATAACGATAAAATAAAAATGGCTTTTGACGTTATCATAGTTGAGAAACATACTAACTATTTTAAGTATACATGTATAAGGTATTTAAATGCATTCGTATTGCACAAACAGGCGTAAATCAATTGTCATTTTGTTTGTCAATCGTTTTGTTTAAATGCACGTACAAGGTGACGAACATGGCCTTGGTCTTTTTTGTAGCACATACCCACAACAAAAGACACTGTATAAATAGAATAACATTATTATATAACAATGCCTGCAAAGTAACCCGAGTTGCGACTTTCTGTTTCGATCCTTGATCACGTGAAGCATGTCAATATAGGCAATCAATATGTGTTAAAAATAAATACAATTATTTTAATGCTACCATAATTGAAACTAACTCTTAAGTCGGCTTGTGGCATATATACTTATATAATACCCATGCAACCAGATCAGACAAAGGTTATTCTGATCATGGTTTGCAAAATGTTTGCTATTCAGTTAGTATATATTAAGATTTTTTTCCTAAAAATGATAAATGTAAATGTTTTTTTGTACAGATTGAAAGACCGGAAAGTGAATGTAGCATATTTGGCTTGGTAAGGGAACAACGAACAATCATATCATAATGAAATAGGAATTACCATATTTTTAGGCGAGAACAGTGTGCATAATTATGTTTAATTATTAACAGTTAAAACTCAAAAAGAGCTACGGAACAACCTCGTCCAATTTCAAAGAACATATATTTATTCGCAAAACACATGTATGAATACATTTGACAATTTCAAATTTAGGTTTAATTAAGCGCTAAATATTGATCATATCTTTCGAAATGCATTTAAGTATTTCATTTCGTCGCATGTAAGTAAATTCAATAATATACACTCGGGTATATCTATTTATGCATTTTATTATTTTTTATTTTTGCATTTCAAAAAGATCAAGGAGGGAATATTGGATAAATATAATTTTCAAATCTTTAGCTATAGTTTGTAAATATATCAAATGGTTTAACTTAGCTATCAATTGATTTTAACTGTTTTTAGTTGTGCAAACGTAAGCAAATAATTGCACACGTTGAACCGAATAAGCGTTTTTATTTATTTTTTTCTTAAAAACGTGAAGAATAAATAATTTTTACACAAAACTAATGTTTTCAGTAAATGTATATGGCTTACAGAGAGTTTTGATATGATATATCTGGTAAGTGTTTGAATTAATGTCAATCGGTGTTTCCATGCACATTTGTTAAGGTACATCAAAATACAAAGTGGAAGTGCTGGTTTTGTTGTTAAAGTCAGTGATCCCAAACTTGCCTCTTTAAGGAACACATACTATAAAATCCATAGCCAATACAGGTAGAAATTTCGGCATGACAGCCCTCTTTTGAGTGTCACGCTTTAAAAGAATTAAATTTCTAAACCTTCATTGCATCTACGTGACTTAAACTGCAAAAAACAAGCAAACAATATGATATGCAGAATAGCTTATGAATAGTTGATTAAAATATTAAAATAAACTAATAATAAAGCGTTGTTTTATTTTTAAGACTAATATATAGATTGAGCTTCTTTTTTTAGATATTGAAACCAAAATATTCTTCCTGGAAGAACCTGTTTTTTGTTTTTCCATTTTAGCAAGCGTTTTGGATCAGATCCATAAACATGTTCAAACAAACGCAGTATGCGTTTAAATACGTGCATTTATTCTGTTTATTTCGCAGTTTTCGTTTTAGACACCTTTGTTTAGCTGAGGTTAACATATTTTTACATACTTAAGTATTGGTATTTGGAATACAGAGGGGTAAGGACATATTTTTTTCGGAAGTTCAAAAAATATACACATATAATATTTTATGAACTATTTATATGTTTATATCTTTTAACTTTCAATAAAAATGATATGAAAATAAAATAAAAATAATAATAAATAGTTAAACATTATTTTTATTGTCATTATTTTTGCAAGTATAAAGCAGATGAGTAAAAAAAGATATTTGATTTATTAAAAATAAATATTAAGAGGATATTTTTTCGTTTGAGTGAAATATGGAATATATTTTTACGAAACATGATAAAATGCCACATATTTTCATGAGCCGGGACGGCGAGTGAAAATGTGTGGCATTTTATCATGTTGAGTGAAACTATATACCATATTTCACAAAAAATAAAAAACATAACCTTTTTATTATCAACGAAAAATTGTTACGAATCCATTGCTTGCTACGCAAATGCAATTGTACAGCGCGCAGTAATATATAGATGCGTCTTGTTTTGCCTATATTTGCACACGCTGTTTGGCGCTACATTGTGACGTCACGTAAACAACTCTTTAAACGTCTGTACAGCGTTAATGACTGCATTAAAGATATTGGTGTTCGGATTTATTTTCTTAGTAAGACCATTTGCTATCATTCTAAATAGTTTTCAAAACAAAATTCAACAAAAATTGTTTTGTATTTATCAGATTTTTCAAACAAAATGGCGAAAAAAGTCCCGTAAAATGAATATGAGTTTTGACTCCGCCCACTTTCATATTTATATTTCATATTTATTTCTAAAAAATATGAAATATATTTGACTGATATAGCACCATATTTCATGGGTAAAATTAAATAATATATCTTATTCATAACCATACTCAATATAAGATTGGCGGGAGCGCGGCTTTAACAATTTCTTTTGTTTGAAGCTTCTCACACAGTTCTTAACATTTTTCAGCCGAACTTTCACAGTAGTTTCCTCACGAAGTACCATGCTGCATATTGTCAAGATTTGTTTATATTGATCAAGTTTACTGTATTATGGCCTTTGTGTTGATTTTGTATTCACACTTAAATTGTTTTATACATGCATAAAATAGTATTCCGATCGAATCCCCTTATTTTCGCAACAAAACTTTCACAGAACTTTTATAGACTAAATTATTTTGAACGTGATACATTATGACTGTACCATTTGTAGTCGAAAATTCGCCTGTCTGTAAGTAATTCCTGTCATTATCATGCCTAATCGTTTAGGTCATTATGCAATTTCGAACGCCTTGCCGCACGGCATTAGTTTTTCACAATCGGCGAATAAAAGATTGTAATATGCAATTATTATTCAAAATGTAAATTTAAAGTGGCGACCTTGGAACATTTTGCGAATGATTTGTTTCATATTTAGTATCTGTTCCGATATCTAAGGGACTAGATTATTTTTATACAATTTTTGTTTAAACTATTGTTACAATAGTAGAGAGAAATATTGTTACCTTGAATGAATTGTTACAGAAACGGTTACACTCTACCCCATAACCATGGCGACTCGTTCAAGTAAACAAGAGCCCGAAGATCCGTAAGTACAGTAGCATAGTAAAGCTTTATCTGATGAGGACGCTTGTTTTCCAGTTAAAATAACCATTACATACTTCTTTTTAGTATATGAAAGCTGCACGCCTTCAGGTAAGCAAAATTAACCTTAAGAAAAATGTTCTGAGATATTAAGAAAAGTAGACATATTCACAATTCAAGAAATAATTTACATATCGTATGCAATTAATGATTAATTTTGCAGAATTTATCACCCTATTTCTACTTCGTGACTAACGCAGTAATGCCTTTTTGTGTACACTAGCCTATTTTTTGTCATTTCCGTAGATTTCAAGTACCGTTTGAATTGTGTAAATTACTTTTTTCACTTGACAATAATTGTCTTTTATATAGATTTTAAAAAAAATCATGAAAATTAGCCTTAATCTGGAAGCATGTGGCTTTAAATTGAAACATACCCTATTTTTAATTTATTCGAAACCCTTTATTGTCACACTCGTCAAAAGCTTCCAGTAACATAAACTGTTATTGCTTTAAAAAGTAAAAATGGAAAAGTTTAAAGAAGACCATCAAGGCAAAATAAAGAAATATGTTGCAGGTACGGTTTGATCAAGCTTGTTAAGCTACAAGATTGCGCTCCATATCACCGTCTATAATAAAACAAAATTCATTTTTTACATATGAATCAACGGTTTAATTCTTGATAAATCCTTAATTTACACGTGTGACCAGTTAAGGCCACGATCGTGTCGTCTGATTAGGTTTTGCACTGGTTGTTATTTCTTCATTACATATTTGACTTTTTGTCCATACACTGACAAATGGTTTGATCACATTGAAGGATGAACTAGTCCATTTATTAAAAGATAATTAGGGTGGTAAGGGCTAATGTCAAGCAATCGATCTTGAGAATAAGGCACATTCCAAGACTTATAATAAATAAACATGATAAATGATACTACATAAGTTTTCCGAGGAAACGATGCCAAAAAGGATGGAAAAATAAGCACCCTGGTCGAGACTTAAACATGGACCATTTAGTAATTGTCCGGGATCTCTTGTAAGTGAGTTAACCGTTGGTTTTCACATATACTTCATTATAAGCGTAGTGTTATCCACTACTACTCAGATTTCTATTATACATAGTTTAGCCATATATAAACACGTACCAATAATGCACGCGGAAGAAAAAATGTATATATCTAGTGAAACCAGGATTGTAAGTACCTAAGCTCAAGAAATATCGTCCCGGATTTCTACTACTCACTTTCTCTGTAATTAGTGAACAGTTTCATATCATGACAATTCCCAGTAAACTGAACAAAATTTAGTTTTAATCGCTACAAATTGTGGACCATCACAAATTACGAAGTAGAAATATGCGAAAATTGAAGTACAATGAAGGTAATAGTACATATATGAAGCATTGCTGTAATTTTACAGACAAGTGAAAAATTTCCAAATTTCTGTTTATGATTCAGAGCCTGTGATCCAAACAAACCGATCTCAGTCCCTTTCGAAAAGGTTCTACAAGCCCAAGATGCAATAAAGGATGCGATTGAAGTCACACCATGTAGAGTAAGTAAATTGTGTGATTTAGATATGAATAACCGTATCAAATCAAGTTAGTTATTTTGCAATTACAACTCTTTTAGAATGCATTTTATGATTCTGTTTAAATATTTTACACCAGTTACACTATGACCATATGCATTATAGCATATTTGAACAAAATTAAAGTGTCTACAATCTGTGATATAATTAATTATTATATTCAACTCTTAGCCTACAGAGGCAACACATTCTACCCATATGACCATTGCTGACCAAGATCGGCCGGCAAATCCTTTCTATATGATCATAGTCAGCAAGGAAATTTGCTACTCAATCAGTAAATATTTTGACCCCCCCATTAAATTGATAATAGTTTGCCCAGATTGAAAGACAGATAAGCTCATTTAAGATAATTAGATTGGTGGAGGGAAAATAAACTATATGAAGATGATAATTTACGTCCGACAAAGTTTACTGTAACACCTTACAGTGATGCCTGACATTTTTTATTGTATATGTATTAATTTTAATTTAATAATTTATTATTTTTCTATATTTGTGTTATCCAATGTTTGAAGTTTTTATTTGTTTATCTTGCCACAAATGTCTGGCATTTTAAGAACGTTCGTTTTCTTAAAAATGTACGCCTGCCTGGTCTTTTATTGCAATGGAGCGTACAAGGATGTCTGATTTTTATCAATGTATTTTGTTTTCAGCGTTCACTGATGTCTGACATATTTATTATTTGCTTACCTAGACAGCGTTTACAAATTTTCAACTAGTTAAGATTTCTTTTGTTTTGTTTTCTTTAAATTAACAGCGTTCACAAAATGCTTTAAGGTATTTTAACAATGTTCACAGAAATCTGACCAATTAAGCGAATTTTGATAATTTTTCATCAGCTGCCGCGATGTTTTGTCTTTTCAATTGACTTTTGTTTCCTTTATTAGCGTTCACAGATGTCTGACCTGTTCAACATGGAACTTTATTTCAAGAAAGAGTACATGCAATATACCGGAAGGTAATGTAATAATTGCAATATTGTTGCAATAATATTGACATCTTATATTTTGACACAACAATTTGAACAGTTTGTACATAATCATTATCCACACATAATTTTTATTATCCTATATTTAACTATATCAGCATGGTTGCAGAGAAAGCGTAAATTTATATCTAACATTACTCTTACGGTAGTGACATAACAGGACACATGGTCGTTAATCAAGGTGAGCTGGAAACCAATGGTCAATTATTTTCGAACCGATGATCGATTTTTTAGGAGCCAGATAGCTTACCAACTACACTACCGCAAACAACAATATTATGCACATTGCGTTTTTTTAAGTTGCTCGCCTCAATACGTTGAACAATATTTAAAAAAATGTCAGAATGTTAGAACTAACACAATATACACAATTAAAATTGCTATGTATGATGTGGATAATGATGATGATGAAAATGACGACGATGGCAATTATGCAAATCCTACTCAGTACACAGAGATCTATGCCACCGCGGTCCGATATATCAGAATTTCTGATATTTTATATTTTTTAGCTTTTGAATTTAGTTTTCATTTTTTTGTATACTTTTGATATTTTTTTTTATTAACTATACCGAACGTAGGTACAAAAAGTTAAAAATAAAACAGAAAGAGAAAATTGACGTTAGATTTTCTATGTAACGGTCGATATTTACATTTGAATTTCGACGTTACGTCATGTGACTTTCATTATCATGTGACGTCTGCGAAAGCAGTGATTACAATCTTTAAAGGGAGGTTATCACTGTGAGGAGTTTGATGGTGACGATGACGACGAGGCTAATGCCACTGCAAAGTACAATAGCAATGACAATGATGATGATGATGATTATGATATTGATGGCGACGACGAGGACGACGACGACAATGATGATGACGACGACGACGACATCGATGATGATTATGATGATGATGACGGCGGCGACGAGGTTAATACCACTGCAAAGTACAATAGCAATGACAATGAATATGATGATGATTATGATATTGATGGCGACGACGAGGACGACGACGACAATGATGATGACGACGACGACGACATCGATGATGACTATGATGATGACGGCGGCGACGACGACATTCTGTTGTAGATTATAACGAGTACTATCATAAAAATTAAAATACTGCAAAACAATATTGATTTTCCAAACGACTCCTTAATGTAACATTTATATTTTTGTTCACAGTTTTAAAGAAAGAGGAGCCAGATTTTGTCTGTTGAACCTGTCACCGGTAAATTATTACACATAATGCATGTTATTCTAAAGGCTCATTATAGCTCAAAAATCCATATTTGTTCACTTCCTAACGAGTATTGATCTTCCGTTAGTTAGATGAAAGAATCTAAACATCCTGTCGAGATTCGAACCCTTAGCAATAAGAGTAGGATTGTCAGCGTATACGAAAGCCTTTGGCAGAAAAACAGTGATTTTTGTTAACACCATGACGCCATGACTTAATTCTACTGAGGTGATGTCAGATTTGATTCACTTTTGTATAAACAGTGAACCGCATTAATGTTTTCTTTATTTATGGATCTGTCATACATTATTATATAAACGGGTTAGCCTGCTGTCTCAAAGAAAGCAATTGTCTTTCTAAATCAGTCGCTTTTCTTTTATTTATTGATTGGTCCATATAATACTTGCATTAATACGTCTTTTCTTCCTGCTCAAAAGTTTCGTTCTTTAATTTTATCTTGTTTAATTTGTTCTTGTTTTTTTTATCAAGTAATTGCCTTTCTTGATTTTGTGAGACAATCAACTTTTCTACTAATATCAAACGGTTTACAGGAACAGAAAAGGAAAGGAGTGATAGCAGCAAGTGCCGGGAATCATGCTTTGGCATTGTCTTATCACGGTAAACTTCTTGGAATACCAGTGAACGTTGTTATGCCAACGATCGCCCCGCTGATGAAAATTACGGCGTGTAAGAAATATGGAGCGAATATTAAAATTGAAGGACATAACATAGTCGAGGTATGAAAATACTTATATAGTATTCTGGAAAAAACATATCAAAATAGAATTGCTCATAAATAAAAATATGACATTTTTTACATTTAAATTATGGTAGCCCAGATAACCGTTTAACAATTTATGAAATATAATTTATCAATCACTCATATATGATTTCCGTAAGTTGTCATTGCATGACATAGAGAGAATCGCCACCTGCTCAATTAAGTAAGAATTTGTACTGCATATACCATAGTAAAAAGAAAATTAAACATTTTTCCTCACTGCTATATTAGATAAAGGTTACCTTATGGTAACAGCAGTTTAATCTTTATATTTCAGTCAAGGACTGTTGCTCTAGAAATGGCTAAAGAAAGGGGATTAGCATATATAAATGGGTGAGAATAATCTTGAAGTAGAAGATTTTATCTTGACATATGCATTGAATTGATTAAATATATCAAATATCAAATTTTATCCAGTAACATTGTTCTTTGAGTTTTCTTGCACCTTTCAATCCAATCGCTTGCAATGCTACGATCCATAAGTTAGCCCTTAAGTTTTTTGCTTTGACTTATAATAAGTAAGAATAGACGATAAAAAGTTAATATTATCTTTCAGGAAATTGTAAAAGTAAATAATATTTGTGTATTGCTAGATATGACCATGAAGATATAATAGCTGGACAAGGCACAATTGGACTTGAAATATTAGAGCAGGTACCAGATCTTGATGTTTGTATTATACCAATAGGCGGAGGAGGCATGGTAGCTGGCACCGCTTTGGCTATTAAAACAAAGAAGCCTCACGTCAGAATTATTGTAAGTGTCCTTTCTTTTAAAGTATCCAGTAAACTAGATCTATGTATCTGTCAATGTAAATTAATTTGATTGTAATGTAATAATTTAAAATAGATGAACTTGCCATTATACACCTGCGGTATCACAAAGGTAACATGTGCACTTCTTCATTATTGATGGAATTTAAAAGTTATGTCGTTGGAGTGGAAAAGAGATGATATCTCGTGACTTCAAAATAATTACATGATTGCCGTTCCAATTAGGTATTATGTCTTAGGAACGAGAGGCATGATATATCTTCGCAACGAGATAAATAAAACAGCCACATGTTACTTGTGTTCAAACGTATACAACCGATCAAAATCCAATTATAGAAACACATAGTTTTACGAGATTACGTTATTTAATTAAATATGTTTAAATTAAGATTTAGATTTGAGTTAATATTCATTATCAAAGTTGTTTAATATATTTGTGATATTTCTATTTCTTGTATAACGTCTTTATTTGTACATGTTAAAATGGAATTTCTTGATATTTTCCTCTTCTAACGATTGAAAGCCGATTTTAAAAAATTATTTATCACTGTTCATCTTTAGGGTGTTGAACCAGAACACTGTCCAAGTTTCCAGAAGGCCATGGATGCCGGAAAAGCTATTTATACCGAGACAACATCCACGCTTGCAGACGGTTACTTTTTTCCTATATTTTGAAAATTCATATACATGATCCAAGGCCCCTTATGCCTCAGAAATGCATCTTTCTAATTGCTAAAAGACATTTCATTTTTTTGTACGTTGTTACAATTTTCAAACAATTATTTGCCATATATACGAACTATATTTTGCTCATTTTGCTCTGTTAGTTTTTGTATAATTATTGTGAATAAGTATTTTGTCATCGTCGGATACTCTCGGTAGATTTACTTGTAACATAACAAGTAATCGGCTTTGGGTAAAGTGAATAAAGGGTGCGAAAAATATCGACCAAATTTATGTTCTTCAACGAGGATAAACAATTATCAAACAAAACAAAATGGCAGCGCCCATGGTGATAACCTGTTTTACGTGTCTTGCTAAGGTATAAAGCTAAATCATTTTAATTATTCCACAAGCAGAGACTATAGTGATATAATCCACCAAATATCGTATAGAACGCGAGGTTTGATTGGTTTTAATCGCCTTATGAAATCGTAAGGCAATAAATGAAAAAAGGTGTCTTTGTAAAACTTCTTATCGATTGGGTATCGGCAAAAATGCCAACGGCTGATCTATGTTAATAGTTCGGTGGTGGGTATACGACAATGTCTTTTTTTGTATGGGGTCGACTATTACTTTGTTTGAAATTTTGCTACCTTTATGACACATAACTGCACATGCAGTACTACTTTTTCAGTGTTTAAACATCTAACTTGCTTTTAATTCATAATTAAAACATTTTACCAAACATGTTTGACAAACGTATCTTAAAAAAGTGACATTTAATTTTTTTTAATTAAGGTGCGTCTTTCTACAATTCAGGCCAATTAAGACAAAACATCTTTACTTAAAAATATTTAGTAATAAAGCATGTATGGATCGTTCGACACGACATTTGTGATACTTTTTCTTAATATTTGCATGTAAGTTGGGCGGTGTTAGTATTTCTTACGTGAGTAATGTTAAATCACCCAAAGGACAAGTTGCTTGCTTTATAAAAGTGTTTTTTAAAAGCTAGTCTGTGATATACATGCGTCAAAACTCTGACCCGTTTCAAAATTCCGTTTTATTTTGTTTTTCCCAGTGTTTTTAATTTCGTTTAGGTCAGACATAACCGTTTACTTGAGGAACATACGCCGCTTTTTATTCCTGATATCCGCCGCAATCTGCGGATGTTTCCAAATTCAAAATTGGACTGTTGCATGCACTTTCAAGTACCATCTACAAACATGCTCAATTAAACCGAGCCTGCAACATTGTCAAATCCATTGACTCTGAACAACTTTATAACTCTTTTAAACAACTTTAAAATAAAGTTACAATACCGTTATAACTTTAACTCTTACAATTATAATGAGTTAGCATAATATATACGATTTTTTCAGGGCTTGCTGTTCCTACTGTTGGAGTGAACGCCTTTGAAACAGTCATGGCAAATAAACTGATCGATCGAAAAGACATGGTCCAAGTTAAGTAAGTGAACACACATTTTGTTGTTGCTGGTTGATGCTGATCTCTGTTTTGGCATTTTCAGTGGTATTCATCTGAATTTTTTGTACTATATATACACAAGTATGTTTGATTTTGTCTAATTCGTGAACCTAATGTTATATTATTTAAGAGAAATCTCCTTTTATCCGGAATGTTTGTTACATTATTATCCAGGGAAGAATGTATTGAGCTGGCGATCTTAAGGTGCATCGAGCTAGAGAAGGCGGTGGTCGAAGGTGGAGGCGCCACAGGATTGGCAGCAATTATACAAGGGTTTATTCCGGGACTGGAGGGCAAGAAGTAATTTATTTTCATTTTTTTAAAGAAAGTTTTATGAATTGATGGTTGTCTTGGTAGCTAAAGTTTCCGAATCTAAATCCAGGGAGCATGAATTGGAGCAATACTCTGGTTTCGCCCTCGCTTCCACGTATGACACCAGGTTTGGATGTTATAAAATGTTCAATATGTTGTGCCAGTTACTGACCATCTTAATACATGGAATCTAAAATTCTTTTGATAACTTTTGGCTAGTACTGGTTAGTGCAAGGAAGCGGACTGGAGTTGGGAGTGGTTTTGAATTTCAAAATGTCACTACTTCTCATGTTTTAATTTTGAATTTTGCTTACGGCGGTGCTAGGAGATAATTGTTTTAAAACATCTTTGGAAGACACAGAATAATCACCGTCAAATGCCGTCAATTACATTTACGAGTGTATTGTACATGCATGAAAGCAATTATTAGTGAAGATTCAGGCTTTATAGTAAAGAGTTAACTAACTTTTCACGTAGACCTGTTTTATCCTAGGAGTAATAACGTGTAGTGAAAAAATAAAAAATGTTGCAACATGAAAAAGAAATCGGTTACCCATTTTTTTGTTCTTCTTTATTTATATTAATATTTCATTGTAGGGTTGTGGTGATTCTGAGTGGCGGGAATATCGACACCACGGTTCTTGATCGCGTGATTGAAAGAGCACTGGCTGAAGATGACAGATTGGTCAAATTTAAAGTGTCCGTCAGTGACAGACCTGGCGGGATTGCAGAGCTGACAAAGCTTGTTGGAGATCTTGGTGTCAGGTGATACTTTAAGGCATATTTATTTCATTTGTAAAATGTAGTTAACCATTTAAGCAATTTGTTAAAACCTAAATTATTCATATGTTGTTTATTAATTGACATAAACTAGGAGACATTTCTGATGCAAATAAGGTAAACCTTTCAATGTAAGCAGAAACAAAACGCTCTCCCAGGGCCAAGGGTTTTAATTTTAGCATCATTGTTACTCTATTATTCTTTTTATCATTAAACAAATTTAGGGAATTATTATATCAACATAGATGTAATATAATGAAAAATATTAATTTTAGTATTTTTCTTGTCTCTTGAAAACATTCATTTATCATTTTCTTGCAGCATTGATTGCTTTTTAAAGTATATTGTCACAATGTTTGCATCACAAGCCCTAAGTTTTACCTCAAAGATAAACATATTATTGTAAGGCAATTCAAGTGACTTTTTCAGTATCAAGGACATTTTCCAAGAAAGACCATGGGAGAAGCATGACGTATTCTCTGTAATGGTGAGACATTTTTGTTAACATGTTAAAGGTATCCTGCCCATACCCTGGTTTAAACAATCATATCCTCGCAATTCTTGCTATGTCGATTAAGTTCCAAATAACCAAATTTTAAGGCGTAAAATCAAATCACAATGAAAGTAGGCCAACAATCAAAATAAGGATGAGGAATGCCTATGGAAAAGATAAGAAAACCAATTAGTAAAGATAAACAAACATCCATGGAAATTCTCATTTTTACATTTACCATTTCGTAGATAAATTATACATTGAACCGAGATATATATATAAAATTATTTATAAATTATTATATTTTTATTAAAATATATATATATAAAATATATTAAGATACATCATCAAGTTGTCGTTTCAGGTAAAAATGGTATGTGAAACACGAGACGCCGATCACAGCAAAGAATTGCACGAGGCTATTAAGAAAAAATACCCAAACAACCATCTGATTTGGGGCCAACCTAATAATTAACTGTTGTATAGTTCGGATAAATCACTGTTCTGGATTGTTAAGGAACACACCGATAACATGTTCGTACTATTTTTAAAAAAAGCGTTCGATGTAATCTAATGTTTGTATGATAATATTCAATGTTTTGAATTCATTATGTGAAATTTGATTTTTATAATCAACATTTACTGGATAATAAGACAGCATGTTTAAAGGTGAAATTGTTATAGTTTCTTTGGGATTATAAAACGTGTGCAGCGTTTCAATGGATTTATATGCTGACGAATTGTATATCTCTTTCTGTGACAGTTGATAAAAGTGAAACATTGAACAATAGTCTATATGCTTTATATTTATCAGAAAAAGCTATTGTTAATGATTATGTGTTGACTCATCTAAAAATGGTGCGAATTATGTACTACAACTACACTACAACTTTATTACTATCCAAAGAGTGCAAAAAGAAAAATCAATGTAAACATTGAATATCATTTCAGATATCAATTAAAATACGCCGTTTATTTAATCATGATTAAATTTGAAAATATTCATATTTATGAAATAAGTTTGATTGTTTTTGAAATGCGCATATTATGATTATATCTTTGAAAATAAGTTTTTTTTTGTCTCTGAATTAAAAACAATTTTTATCTGAGTGTGTTCTGTCTCACGATTTGTTTATGTTAAGATCTAACGTTTCCAAATTGTTAGATTGCCAGTGACATGTGTTGTAATGGATTAGTATATACACATTGGCGTATGAAAGTAAAGTAGAATATTATTTTTAGTAAAGACCTTGTATGCGAATGGATACTTTTAAGGAGAGTCGAAGCCCGTCACCCTTATTTCCATTTTTCTACATCTGTATACCTCCAAAATAGTATGATTGAATGTACAAACTCTCAAGAAATGATAATATTGTTTCCGTCCACAGTAGGACAAACATTTGTTTAATACTTTTTAAACAATAGATTAAGAGTATGTTTGACAATTATTACCTGATTTAAGTGATTATTTCTGAATGCAAAGTAACGTATCATAAAAGAAATAAGTTGTAAACAAAGCGTTTTCTGGATCTCATACAAAATATTAAATCACTATACATGGGCATTCCAGAATGCGACAGAAGCACTAGATCGTCCAAGCTATATAGTCAGTGATTATAGAAATAATTAAATGAATGATTTTTGTACAACTACACAAATATATTACTAAAAGTTTGCTCAAGATTGTTTTATCATGAGGTCATTTAACCACAATTCACAATTCCAAAAAATGGTTGTTACAAAAGATAAACCCATATACGGCATGGTAAATTTGTATGTTAACTTCACAGAGGAAGCCTGAGCAACAACAAATTAAAACTGTCTACACACAACCTGTGTACATTTTGTCATTGAGAAAGGTTTCACTTACTCTATTGTCAATCATATCTGACAGTTTCCTTTGTAAGTATAGCAGACCGACGGATAAGAAGTTATCTAAGAAAAATTGAAATGAAAAAGGGACATTGTAATTCTTCAAGCTGTGTCTTCACAGCGTTAAATTGCAAATATGGCGCGCTTTAGAGCACTTATCTCAAGGCTTACGTTTTCAAATGACTTGCAGAATGCTACCTGTGTGCGTTTAACTACACAAACCGTTAGCATGAAGCAGAGTTGGGATAACGATGACATTCAATACGCATCCAATCGACACGGCAGCATATTAAAAGTGATTTGTAATAGGCACGAAACCATGCATTTTATCCAAATTACGAGACTGGACTTCGCAGACACGTGTTTCAGCGTTTAGATCTGATGAGCGTGTTGCGTTGCAGAACATCTTTTTGATGGAGTTTCAGTGATGGCAAGGGCAGGGTTTAGAGTTCAGGGGTAAAATGTATCTTCGACGAGTTAATTCTTAGGGGCTGATTTCACACCACTTGTCCATGAATCCCATCAGGGACTTTGGATTCTTTCATGTACGAAAACTAGCTAGGTGAATGTAAGGCCTTATGACCTTAACATTTTTGTTGCGACGGTTAATCAAACCCCCAAAACAAACAACATTTAAATTGATGATAAAGCCCGCGCACATAGGATCCACATCACAAACCACTATTTTGAACATGCTAAAACTGTCCAAATGGGTTTGCCACAAAATCCCCTGACTTGAATTCCATGAAACATGCTTGGTAAATGTAACAAAACCAGTTCTTCCCGCCGAGTTCAAAAAAATCGTTTCCGGGGCTCTGGTAGGCTCTCATTAGAGGAATGGGGCCAGATCCCACAGCATAATCTCAGAAGGCTTCCCAGTAGCATGTGGCGGCGTTGTCAGGCTCTAATTAATACACAGTTTTAGAGTATCTAAAATGATGGATTTCTCGCCATCTACTAGTTAGGATGTCTTATTTACAGGGTAATTGTTTTCTTCCGTGTTCTTTTACCACGGTAATTCATCAATAAACACGTCAATATAAACATTTAACATTTGAAAGTTCAGTAGAAATATTTTGGTCATCAATGTGGAATCACTTAATTTTGAACTTGTGTTTATATTTATTTAACAAGGACACTGCAAAGCTCATAAATTATTGCGACATTAAAGACTTACAAGTGGAGAAACGTTTCCTTTAAATATAATATCATTTTTTACTGCCTATTGTCGTTCAAGGGCATACAATTCTCAATGTACCTCACAGACGGACTATGCAGAACAATAGAACTGTAGCAACTTTTTTGCTAGAAAGTCATCGTCGGCGTGTTAAGATTAAAAAAACCGAAGCAGTGCATGGTATATCCAAACGACGCATATTAAACGAAAAAATGGACGGAATGATTGTGTTAACCCATTTCTTGATTTCCAAGTTAGTCCTTATTTGACGTTTGGTGATATACGAGGGCTGTCAAAAGAATTCGTGCACTGCAGTTATTATCGTGAGAGTTATTGATAGAAAAACATGAATTATATATCACCTGAAGGGGAAATCTGAAGAAAAAGAAAAAAACATGTAACCGGCATGTAGTGCCAAAACGAATCCTCATACAGTTACCTTGGTAACGTAATACCCGCGCACGACAAGGAATTTGATTAATTCATTACTTTGATGCAACACGGTATTCTTTAAACACTACATATAAACGTTAAATTCAGGGAAAAGTGTGTGTACGTATTCCTTACGTCACTAGAAAATTTGACATCATTTGCCTTATTTTAACGGTTGTAAACAAACATTTGTGTGTGGTCGTCATTACTGTAATTACGTGAAAATATCAGTCGCTAAACGTCTGGAAATACGGACGCTCATTAAATTTTGTGCAAATATTGGTAAAACACCAACAGATACCTACAATGAACTTAAAAGGTCAAGCGGGGCAAGCTCGGTGTCACAAAGGCTGGTTTTTAAATGGCACAAACGCTCTGTAGAAGGGTGAGAGTCGATAGACGATGACAACTGGTCAGGCAGACGTCTGTCCGTAATGACGGCGCATGTGACGAGGGTTGTCCAACATATTCGTGCACTGGTTGAATATGTTACATGTACGTTGCATAAGAACAATAAAAACTACAAAATGCTTTGTATCAATCATTCCTCTATTGACAGTAAAACAAATTATAACATAAAAAACAAATGCCACTTTACAAGCAACAAAAAATTAATACAATTACAGTAATGAACTAACCCAATATTTTGTCGCGCACCGGTATTACGTTACTAAGGTAATTTAAACCCCAGTCACACTAGAGCTTAAGATTACTTGCGACCACCGGCGACTTGTAAAACTGACGATCATCAGCGATTGTCTGCGACCAAAACCATTTTTGCTCGAATAAATTTACTTCTGCGACTATCGTAAGACCAGTCATCATTGACAATCGCACGACAGGTCATAAGCAAACGTACGATGATCTCAAGATTGTGTGGGATTACTTACGACTACCAGTGACCTGTCATGCGATCACCTACAACTAGTCGTACGACCATCACACGATTACTAAAGACTACTCAAGATTATCAGTGACTAGTGGCAATTTGTAAAGACTGTCTTAAGGTTGTCGCACTTCTGAACGACCATCGTGCGATAGCCTAAGACCTTATAAGATCACTAGCGACCTGTTTGATCGCAAGGAGGTTTTTGTGCAAGCTCAAAAACCTCTCTACGACTGAAATTGGTCGTGGGACCTAAATAAGACTGTCAAAGATCACCGATGACCGTCGTAAGACGTTTCAAAGATTGTCCGCGACTAGAGGTCACTGGTGATCGTGAACTGGTCTTCACTGGTCGTAAGCTCTAATGTGACATTTATTTTCACGACACGCCGGTAACTCGGCTTTTTCTTTTGTTTTCTTATTTGAGAAAGATTTCCCATTCAAGTGATATATTATTCAATTGTTTTTATTAATAACTCTCACGACAATAACTGCAGTGCACGAATTTGTTGGACAACCCTCGTACATTTTATATGTTTTTCAGGTAAAATCAGTGTTTAACATTTATCAAACACATTCCTTCCTTCCAAAGATGAAAGCAATTATTTATCTACAGTATTTTTTGGAATAAAAATTGATATAAAAACATCGTAAACTAAGTTCAATTTTGTATTAATTTATTTGTACTCGTGAATAGAAGACATTACTTCACTTACAGATTTCCATTTGATCCTGATATATATTATACAATTATTGGTTATATCAAAGAAATTTATTCTGCAAAAATTAAAGTTATTGTCCAATGAGATGATACTAACAAATAAATGTTATAAAAGTCACATAAAATACGTTCAGTTTTGTATTTATATATTAACACATATCATCCCCGGTGAAAAGAAGGAATAACTTTATTAACAAATTTCCATTTGATCCTGATATATATTATACATTTTATGCAATTTTCCATGCTAGTAAAACATAATTCCTTCAAAGAACATCAAACGTTGCTGTTTTCTTTGAACACTTAAATAATTATATATTATGTTAATGAAACACATTATACTTTAAATAAAAACAAAGCAAAAAGACCCGATGATTTAATTTTATTGTATCTTTTCATTATCATTTCTAAAATTTTCTTCAATTCTTATTAATGTGATGCTGGAATAATATCCTTATAATATATGCTATGTCATTTGCTAAGGAATCAAATACCGGGAATTTCGATTTTTGGTAGGGTTGCACAGGTGCAAACCCGGGTTACAAAATGGTGAATGCCGGGCGGCGGATGGGCGGGCGGGTTTTCGGACGGGCGGGGAAAATATTTTCGTAACAGTTTTCTCAGCAACTACATATCACAGCCACTTGATATTTGGTATACAGCATTACCACGTGGTCCCATACTCTCGGATTCGAAATCAGGTTTGTAAAAGGTAGTTAAATTTTCAACATTAATGGTGAATGATAGGAAACAGTTTTCTCAGCAATTTCTTATCGCAACCTCTTGATATTTAGTATACAGCATTCATATGTAGTCCCATACCGTGGGATTTGATTTCAGGTCTGTCGCTGATCCACTTCCTGTTAACGGAAATTTTTAACATTAATGGTCAATGGTAAACATTTTTTGTAACATCACAGCCTCATGATATTTGGTATACAAATGCAACCCGACCTTTTCTGTCTTTGATCCATTTTTTCATGTTAGGAAACACTCAAATAGTTATTATAGGCTATTCACC